AATTATAAACAAGAATAAAACATAATTGCCGAAGCCATCGGTTGAATGAAAGGTGTGAAAACGTGCTAACTTTGTCCTTTGTGAGCTTATTAGTTGTCTGAGGTGGAATGCAGTAGTCTGCAAGACATCCGGGAACTATGTCCGTTATATGCAGTTCAACTGTTCACTGCGGCCGCTGAAGCATGGCCGTTGGCCGCGTTAGGCAGGTGGCCGCTGTAAACAGGGTACTTTACATGTAAAATTCGTAGGGACTGTTCGGTTGTGACCGCTATAGGCAGGTGGCCGCTATATCCAGGTGGCCGTTAACACAGGTTTGACTGTACCTCCATTCATTGAGGGAAGTTTTTTTGTTTCAATTACTGTAAAACATGTCTTTTTCACGAGCATGTCTTTTTAGTGAATTTAGCGAAAGAACTGATTTGATAATTACACTGAGTGAATGTGCAACAGACCCACTGAGAAAGCTTAATTCACTATGCACTGAGTGAATGTACCAAAGACCCACTGAGGACATCAAATCCACTACACACCTAGTCAATGTACCAAAGACCCATTGAGGAGGTCAAATCAACTGTACCCTGAGTGAGTGTGCTACAGACCCAGTGTCCGAACGTATTCCAGACTCTTTTTCAAATTATGGGTTAACTTGATGGCCATAATAACCATAAATGTAGATTTTGTACTTAAATTTGCCACTGCCATAACATTGACATGACTCATTAAACTATGTCTCTTGAAATTAAAGCATTTTATAGTTTATCTTGTATTTAATTGGTGCTACATGTATAATAGCTATGCTTGCCTTATATTGTAGTTTTTAAGTTATCCCTTGATGAGGTTCGGCTGTCACATGTTGACTACAGTAGCACAATTCACCCCTCCATGTTTATCTCTATTTCTCTTTGGTGGACATTTATAAACAAACTAAAATCATGTGACAAGCACATTTTCTCAAATCTGTTATAAAGGGAAGAAACATATTCCATATCATTCCTAGCTCAGCTGAAATAATTAAAACCCAGTGGATAAAGTAAGACATCCAATTTTTGCCACTAGAGTTTTGACGAATTATAGACTTTTGCGTGAATAAAAAGGGATATTTTGTACGTTTAGTATAGTTTGCAATCAATTATACATGTGCTATTATGGTTATAAATTACTGTGCTAAAAATATTTCCCTGAAATATTTGAAAGCCCTAGGGTTATTTATTTTGTAAGGCATCCCTAAAAAACATGTTTAGGATGTCTATTCAAGATTTGCAGTATACCCAATAAAAAAGTGGTGTTGATTTGCCTTCACCAGAAGGTGTTAAGGGGTACCGTAAATTTAGAGCCCCATTTCTAGTTTTTCAGCTTCGCTGTCGACATCATATGAGTGATTGTCTGTGTCCGTGTCAATGTTTTACGTTTTCTACTTCTTCTTGAAAACTATAAGCCTGAATGCTTTGATACTTGGTGTATATGTACCTTGGGTAGACCTCGCTTAGATTTGTTCATTTCATGATGATATCTTCAATTCTCTAATTTTGGTGAATATTTTTGGTAAAAAGTGATATTTTTGACTTCTTGTTAAAAACTGCAAGTCCAATTGCTTTGATATTATACATATAGGTACTACATGTGGACCTCTCTCAGATTTGTTAATTTCATGATGATATTTTCAATTATCTAATTTTGATGAATATTTTTGTTATTTTTGGTGAAAAGTGATATTTTTGAATTCTTGTTGAAAACAGCAAGTCTGATTGCTTTGATACTATAGATATTGTACATTTTCTAATGATATCTTCTGTTCTTTAATTGCAATGTGAATTGCTAACAACGGAGCTATCTCAGCTGACTGGCTGCTTGCGTACCCAACTTGTACTTGTGTTGACCTGACCCTCTTGGGTCTTTGTCACAGGTGTTCTTTTTGTTATAGCAATACATATCAATTGGTATTATTGCTGTCTAGACACTCATTGTAGGACTCTTTTATTATGACACATGAGGCAATAAAAAAAACATTCGCATTCATACTATGTATTATGCAGTGATGCAGGCTATTTTCTACAGTACTACAAACTATTTTTAATATTCATACTACAAGCTATTTTTAATATTCATACTACAACTATTTCCCAATTATAAAAGCAATTTTC